TAATTGCTTGCCGTAACTTGGCAACGTCGGTGCTACAGCAGCTGTGATAAGTGCAACGAGCGGATTGAACACAAATCCCCAGTATCCACTATACGACCTAAGGAGTTCTGGGACAAGGAAAACTTTTAAAGCAGACTCTGTCCAAACTCTGTCTGTTCATGCAGGCCGTGCAACACGATTACAATTTTTCTCTCTTCTCTCTTCTCTCTTCTATCGAAAGGCAGGAGAGTGAAGTGGTTTCTAAATGGATTTTGGACGCCACGAAAATAATTTAATTATTTACCGAAAACAGCAACATTTTTGGGCCAATGTGTAGCAGATAATTTCATTAAAACAGTCCGCACAGAGGCTTCCATACACTGCGTATGCGCAATGTGGATTTATCTTGGACTTTGGCAGTCCCTTTGTGGATTTTGCGGATGTGTCGGATGTGTTTGCACGTTTAATGTGCATTGCCTGGACCTTCACTCCCAGACAAGGCCTTTGTACAAGGAAATCCTTTTACACCATATTGAGTTTTGTTGTTGGCGCTGCCTGTGGCATTCTCATTAGACATTAGACGTTAGACGTTAGGACACAGTTAAAGCAAATAGAAGAAGAATAAGTATATGATTTAAACACGCTGCGGCTGCAATTAATTTTAAATATTTATACCCAACCATGGCAACTGGCGAAAGTCAAGTGTCAATAAACCGCCAAGTTTGCATCTCATTCGGATTGAATTAATAATATATTTTCCAACACAGAGGGGAACTGTTTTGAGAGCTCCCAAAAGGGAAATTAAAAAGTTTCCGAAAAACCCTCAAGGTTCCCTTAAATAGATCCTGCTTCTTCGATTTCAGGATAACAAAAAGTTTCCTTCTTCATTTGCCAGTGTTTAGTTTGCCATTCCTTAAACAATTAGCAACGCAGCGGAAAGTGGGCCAAGCAAAGTGTCAAGCAGGGAAAAACATCGAATTGGACTAACGAAGTGAAACAGAAACTCAAATGGAAATGGAAATGGAAAAACTACAAGCAACACAGAAAACTAAAAACGAAACTTTTGTTTTGCATTTGGTTTTGTTTTTTGTGTGTCCTCCGTTCCCTGTTTGTTCCACACAAACCACACATATTCCCAGAAGGCCAAGCTTTGAAAAGGCAACCGAATAGTCGAGTAATACACCTATGGAATATTCGATAATCAGCTCGTAAATGTTTTGTAAATGACAAAGCCAAGACAGGGTCAAATTGCTGTCGAAAAAACCCTCGTTATGCGCCAGTGCAGGGTATGCCACATGTTGAGAGGAGGGAATCTAAACTGCTTTTCGTTGATAATAATAATGCTGATGTTGATGATTTCAATGGGCCAATGTGTTGCAGCTGCGGTCAGTGGCTTGGAGGAGCATGTTTTTGTGCGTATGCACACAACGCGGACAAGTGGCCATCTAAGGCTGCCCGTGGGCATACAAAGGAGCTGCGAACATGCTTGTCGTTTCGTCGATTCAATTAATGGGACAACTGAAAACAAAGCGAGACAAAACGGCAGCTGAACAAAGAGCCAAGTGTTCAAATCAGGGAGTTAAGTACTCGCCTCCACTCACGTTCAACGGGCAATTACATTTTAATGAGAGAAGCTTCCCCGACCATCCAAAACCTTGTCGATACATATGCAAATTTGGTTGGGGTCAGGTTCTGGGCTGGTGGACACACACACACACACCTCATGCATTTAAAGAGGGCTTTAAAGCTGGCCTCTTTCAGGCCTTCCCCACTCACTATCTCTGATTACTTTGTCCGTGTCCGCCTTTGTATGCAAATTTCACAGTCAGCGTTATTAATTTTGCGCCCAGCTTACTGTACTGGCTTCAGTATTCCCTATTGAACGGCCGACACATCAAAGCACTCCGGCTGACAAAAGCACACTTGCCTTTTCCTTGTTACAAGAACAAATGTGCGTGTGCGCTTAAAAATAAATACATACACATATTATGTACACATTATAACAGAAAATATAAACTGAAACGGATGCTGAGACAAACAAATGTTAAAGGGAGGCTCGGCGCTTTCAATTGGAAAAAAAAATAAAAAATCAACCAAGGAGGCAAGCGGAAATATAATGAGTTTTGCTCAGTGTCCAAAGCCAGGGAGGCTGGCCCTGGCCAAGAGCTGACACTCCTTTCAACAGAGACTGGGAGGACACTGTGGCAGTGTGACAATGTTTGTATGCTTTAGCAGACATAGGCTCCGGCTTTGGCTGTAGCTTTGGCTTTGGCTCTGCCTCTGACACTGCCACTGCCACTGCCTCTTCTCTGCTCTGCTCTGCTCTGTCACCCGTTGAAAGTCTCATAAAGTGGACGGACATTCGCTTTGATTTGCTGTTGCTAGTGCTGTTGTTTGTGTGGTTTTTTCTTTTGCCAGTCGAATCCACACTAACGACTTGCCAGTTGATGTCATACGTGTGGTGCGGCTGGCTGCGAGGACAACGACACCGTGTGGCAGCTTCAGTACTCGTATCATCCTCATCATCATCGTCACCGTGGACTGTTTGCACTGTCCTTTGACTCAGTATGTCCCACTCTTTAGGCAGCGTCACATTTAAAATCAATTTCATGGCCTGTGCCGGGTAGGACACACACATTCGACACACATACACAGTGCCACGTGCCACAAGCCTGTCCCCTGTCAACCACAAATGCAAATATAAACATATGCGAGGCTCACAAAAAAGAAATCCCTCTCAAGCTGTAAATACCTCCCCCTTCTGTGAGGGTACATCCACGTCCCCTAAGTGCTTGACTAGCTCCAAAGCGATACTCCCCTTTCTGTGCTTTCACAGTATAGATTTACAAATAAAATATAGAAATTACATAATTTAAGCTGACTTTTGCAGAGCATTCCATATTCGAACTCAGTCTGTAACTTTTCCCCATATTTATTTATTTTCCTTTCATAAGCCTTTGCCTCCCGAATGTACATACGTCTGAGAGCCACCAGGGAAGGTCATTACTGATAAGTCAGCCAATAAAGTCACTCCACAGGCCACTCCACTGCTCGCTGCAGTGTGGGGCCAGAGCAATGCACTCCACTGCTGAAACTTCCGGGAAGACGCGCTTGGGCAGGAAGGACATGTACGAGATTCTGTTGGAAAAAGTACAATTAAACATATGGGAAAAGGTGGATTGTTTTAACTTATTATGCAATCTCAGGGCAGGTGTTCGAGCAGAGAGCCTTCGCATTCCTGAGAGCAATAAAAGTTTGCCGCCTGGCCGTGGCATGCGGAATAATTCATTCGACATTTAAGTGTCTGCCGACACGTGCAATGTAAAAGTTTTACGCGCCTACACACACACCACACATAAAGACCTGCCTGCATTATATAATTCCGCATAAAGCGTTGAAGCGAAGCGTTGCCAGAAGACGCTCTTAAAGGCAGTGCCCAATGAGGGGTAAAGTAAAGCTCTTAGGCCGCCGGCAGATGACAAATTGGTCGCTTTTCATTTTCCACTGCATATGTGTGTACATTTGTGCCAATGAATCTGCATGTGTCTGAAGCGCTTTCTGATGGCCAAAAGCAATCGATTTTCCTCTCCTTTTTTGGCAAGCGAGAGTGATTTCCTGCCCATTGCCGCCAAACTTCATCAAGGCAACATCTCTTATCAGCGGAGTGTTGGGAGGGAGTGTTGGCTGCATGCCTGGAATATCTTCCGGTTCCGCAGTTTTTGATGTCTTCCTCTCACTGGGTGGTGGAAGATGGAAAGTGGAGTGTCGACAAGAGGAGAGGAGAGCTTGGAGTCAGTAGCTGCAAAAAATAATAATCAAGGAGCCGGCGTTAGCGTGGCGCGGTTGTCCCTTTTGATGCCACAAAAAATTCAGGAAAATCAATTGCAAATGGATACAGACACTTGAACGTACCTTGGTGCATATTTGATATATGCATACGATCCCTACATTAATATGTATATTCAACTCAACTATGAATGCGAATTCCACTCAAATCCCGTGGGATTTGGCACGTGCTGCTAAAAACCCAATGCAATGGGGGCAGCCAGACCGTTTGGGTCCAAGCTAGATCTGGCACAAGGGCAGGTCGTAAAGAGATACTATTTAGGTGACCGAAAACCATTTAAAAACGTGTGAAAAAGGGCACACTTTGCGCTGCATACTTTCAGGAGCTTAGTGAAAATTAGAAATCAAATAAATGTTTTCTCCTTTATTCCTTCAGAGGAAGATTGTGCTGTTGATCCCATAAGAACTGCAGAATTATTTTCGTCACACACAGGAGGGGCATGGCCGCTGGTTGGCATAGCGAAAGAGAGCGTGACAACAACAAAGGAACCAGCCAGCTAACACAACAAGAAAACCGAACAATTGCTGTCTAAATTCATTGTGTGCGCCTTTGTCTGATTCGATGTTGCTGTGTGTTGCAGGCGCTTAAAGGGGAAAGGATCACTTGGAGACCAGCACACACACACACACACACACACAGGGTGCATGTGTTCGCATTCGTTTCAATGGAAATGTCTATGAATGTACAATTTACATTGATGCCGCATTGTGGCATTGTCTGCTGTATACTATGCATGCTCGTTCTCCCAGAGCTATATGCGGAAATATTGTTTATGTGTCTCTCGGTGGCGCTCTGTCCCGCTTTGGCGAACTATACGACCGTCTCTTTTGCTGCCTTCCGACAAACACAAACAGATGTAAGTTGATTGTGTGCAGTCAAACACCTCGCTACACTTTACCATCGATGGCGGAGATGCTGAGAGTGTGGAGAGTGGTGAGTGGATGGATGGTTGATGTGTGATGGGTTTGTCATTTGATACAGTTTATTATTGCCAGACGATTGAATGACTAACCAAATGATGTAGACGCGTAGATGAGACACTGCAGTTGCCACAGCTGCATGCCTCATAATCAAACAAATCAAGTTTGACAGTTGCCACACAGCTTGCCCGAAACACAAGCCTCAATTAATGGTTTGCCCTCTACTTTGCGTAATAAGATTGAATTCGATACAGTAAAAGGTTGAAGAAGGACTGTGTATTATGGATATTTATAAATAATTATCAATACAAATAACATCGCTATTTACTTTCAATTGGAACAAGACCTGCATCCATTTGCTGCAGCTTAGCTGCTTGGGTGGAGCACCGCCTAAAGTGTAGACATATATCGGTGCAGCACTGATCGTCGTCAGTGCAAGGCCGCCCAGAGGCTCGACATTCCGCATTCACTTCCACATTGTCATCCTGCCAAGGAAAGGCGAAAATATCATAAGATAAAATAATGTTCAAATGTAATTCCTACTCCGGTCACATTTATGGCTAATGGCTTCGATCTGCGATTGCTAGAGTCATCGGCGCGGCTCCACGATTCTTTGAAACGCGAATGCCTACTGAGAACGAGAGCAGTGCTTGTGTTTTCCGCAAGAAGTATACCCAGAGCCAGGACAAGACTTAGTAAGACGAGTGAGACGTTGTGAGAAGTCATGCTGAATGTTTAAAGATGCAACCGTTAAGGCACCTTTATATAAGTACACCTCTACTTTGTTGCTGAACTAAACAAAACCATCTGCAATGCTGCTTTCTATGTTATTCACATTGTTCTCCATCTGTTTTCATAAAAACATATGCGGCTGGAATTACATGAGGGAACTAGCTGGCAAAATATGCGCTGTGTGAGTCGATGGTCGGCAGTTGTAATAAACTCGCCATCATTGGAGCAGCAACAGCAAATCCAACGGACGGAAGGTGTGCAAATGTCGATTTTCCGTTTGAATTTTTTAATAAGTGTATTGGAAGTTAGCTGCTGAGCCTGGAAAAGTGTTTATTTCACTTTAATTGTATTTGTTGGTTACAACGCCAAATGAGATCCTTACTAGATATGCCAACACTTCTTTGTGTCAGAGAGACATTTTTTGTTACAACAATTCTCGGCTGCGGCGCAAGGCTTTCCGTACGATACACAGTTTACATAATACTCTAGGCGATCTTCCTGTAAATAAAACAATTGAAAACCTGCTATCATCTTGGAAATCTACGACCCTCAGCAAATTCCTACCATTGTGAGATTTGTGAGTAAGGGCATAAGTTGATCATGAAGATGCAATATCTTGACAGTCCCCTCTTTGGGCTTAGGAGAACTGCTGTTGAGAGCAGCGGCTTTGGTGGCGGTCTCGGTGACGGTGACGGTGGCGGTGGTCGTGGTTGTGGTGCGAAATGGATCACTGGTCGTGGAAGCACTCGCTCTCTTCGTTGTCTGTTCGTTGGGACCGTGAGTTACGGGTATTCGCCTTCCAAAGAGACCGACCGTGTATCTAGTTCTTTCGAGAAGAGCTAGACCGCTCGCGTTTTCAACAAGCAGTAGACCCAATCCAAAGGCCAACCCAATTACCAAGGGTGTAACGATGGCGTTCATGTTGAATGTTTGACTGATTAAAGTCCCCACTCGTACACCATTTTATACAACGTTCTGTATCTTCACAGGAGAAAACTAATATCGATAATGGTGTGTGTGTTAAAGCCAATGTTTTATTTTCCCATCTGTGTTTAGCGAAAAACATTTGCATCTTTAATTACCAGAAGCCTCAACCAATGCAACAGCAATAAATACATTAGATCTCAGGCAATAAACAGAGCAGTTATTACTATTATTATTATTTAAGATACATATTAGGATAATTTGATCTATCGGTCAGGCACTTCTTTGTGTCGGATATACATTTTTTGTTGCAACAGTTCTCGGCTGCGTTGCAAGGCTTTCCATACAGTACACATTTTTCATGATATTCTAGGCGCTCTTCCTGTAAACGAAAACTATGAGCTATCTGGGAAAACGACGACCCACGCAATTTCCTTACCATTGTTAGATTTGTTAGTAGTGGAAGAAGTTCAAGAGGATGCCTTTTCGTACCATTATTTGGAGGGTCAATAAAAAGAACCATTTTCTTTAAAGTTCGAACAGGGAGAACACTGGTTGTATTTTCAATAGGAAATAGTTCCAGTCCAAATGGCAAAACCAATAGCACGAGCGTAAGGATAGCTTTCATGTTGAGAGTTTGACTGATCCAAGTTCCCACTAGTACACCTTTTTATAAAACATTCTGTTCCCTTACATGCCAAGACCGGAATGTCTTTTTATCTGTGTTTAGTGAAAAACATTTGGTGAATAGTTGATGACTAAGTACAATTAATGACAATCATTTAATGTAATCATAACGCTACGCACTCGGACTTGTCGTTGAATGTTGTTGAATGAACAGAACAGATACAAACGAATCTGCAGCTGTGACTGTCACTCAAAGAAAGCCCAAATGTTTGCTATTTGGGAGATATATAGGTGCACCGCTTGGAAAATTGGAGGCACATCTTGGTGCAACATTGCTCTGCCAGGTGGCACTCAAGGCTGATACCCACACAGGCTTCGGAGTATTCAATGCGCTCTTCCTATTAACAGACAGAAGTTAAATCGTGAACCAATATTTACTTGACTTCTTACTTGTGTCAAATTGTCGCTAAGTGGCATTAAAGTGAAACGAGCACCGACGTATTTCCTGTCACTGCTCAAGATCTGCGCCGATACGTCCGATTCCTTGACCAACGAAGGAGTCTCCTGCTCATCAATCGCGGGATCAGCGTTTGTGGCTCCAATGAGCACTACAATCAGACCAACAGCTACACCTACTGCCAAGAGCGAAACCAAGCAGTTCATTATGAATGTTTGACTAATATAACTGAACATTTTAGAGCCTTTATATACATATCCACTGTGGTGTGATACAAAAACAAAATCAAACACTCTTGTGTTTTCTTACTGCAGCTGTTTCGAGCGCTCATTTGTTTATTTATCTATGGCTATGTCTCACTCTTGAGCCACAAACATGGGTGCTTATGGCTACTGAAGATTCTTTGGGGAAGGTGGGGCACCGCACTCCCTGGTAGACACAAGGCATACTTTCGTGCAGCATTGTTCAGCCAGTTCACAGGGAGCTCCAAATAGCTCGCAATTCTTGACCCATTCAACACGTTCTTGCTATCAGCAAAAGCAGGAAAGATCCATTACTTGACTGTGACGTAGTCCGAAATCTCTAGTATACTTACGCGTGTCATATCTTTGGACAGTGGCATCTGTCTAGGGGGCTTCCTCCGCGCGGAGGCAAGCTCCGCCAGTCCACCTACATCCTTGAAGACTGAAGGTGAATCCAGGTCATCGAAGATCGGAACACCGCTCGTAGGCCGAATGAGCATCAATCCCAGAGGCAGAACCAGACCCATTACCAGCAGTAAACTAGCACAATTCATGTCGATTGTTTGACTAACGAAACTGCCTTCTGTGGCTGCCTTATATATCTATTTATAGCTCCAGTAAGGGCCTCACCAAAATCAAAACCAGACACACCAGCAGTTTCTACCATATCTAGCAAGTGCGAATAGGTTTATCAGAACCAGCAGTCAATAACCATTCCCCCAATACACCAGTTACATGCTATATTTAATAAGAAATAAACATATTGTATAGAAGGATTTGCTTTCAAAATAAACAATTTAAAAAGTAGATGGAAATGTTTCTTACCCAAACCGAAATAATATTATTTTAAAGATATAATACACATTCAGTAATAGTACTAAAAGGGCAGCTATGATCAGATAACTATTTAATAGAGCTAACTATTATTAGCTAACTGTTAGGTGTCTAAAGATTTACCGCCAGATGCTTCCTCAGAGCTTGCAACTAGGAACCAGAAAGTAATTAAACAGCTCCATTCATTTTATAAACTTGTGTTTATTATTGCCAAAAATCTCTTGTTGTTGTTAAGAGGGTTTAAAGTTATTAAGGAATAGAACATCGCATGGTCATCACGAGACATACTTTGGTGCAGCACTGTTCCGCCAATTGGCAATCCGTTCCAATTGCCTGACAATCGTCGCTAAATTCAATACGCTCGTGCTATAAATACGATTAAAAGAATTATAAGTGCAAAATCGTGAACTCAGATCAAATCAATGCATTCCTACAAGTGTCAAATTTTTGGACAATGGCATCATTCTTTGCGATTGGTAAAGTTGGCGCTCATCGTACCCGCGAAATGGAACTCCGCTCGCAGGTCCCAGAGACAGGATCAGAACCACCACCAAAAAGGAGACAATTGGCTTCATGTTGAATGTTTGACTGGTGAACTACATAAACGGGCTTATTTATATACACTTCCATTCCAGAGGCGAACAACAGCATTCCAAATTACCAGATGGTATACTCAGAAGATGAGCGGACTCTGGGAGAATCTCTAATCTCTCTAATTGCCAACCAATTGAAGCAAATGTACATATGTTTTCTTAGCTGCAATCTGTTAATTTGTTAAAAATTAAGTGTCGTTTTTAAGCATCTGTGGCGCAGTTTTATTTAACTTTTCATTTGGCAACAGCTGCCAAAGGAGAATAGATTTTCGCAAAAATCGGCTCCGAAACATTTCGTCTTATGTCTCAATATTCGCCCACGACGGCGCACCGCCTTGTAGCCACCAGGCATACTTTCGTGCAGCACTGTTCAGCATATTTGCAACTCCTGCCCACGGCCTCGCAGTTGTCTCCAAATAAAGTACGCTGATGCTGTTAATCAGATGAAAGATCCTTAGCTCAATCGATAATTGTGATCGGAGTTACATTCTTACTTGTGACATATTTAATGTCGGAGGCATCATACGGTTTCTCACTATCTTTTTTTCTGGTTGTTTTTTGCGGGAGTAGGCAAACGCCGCTAGTCCGCCTGCTTCCTTGAAGATCGAAGGTGTATCCAGGTCATCGAACACGGGAGCACAACTCGTGGGATCCATCAGCAATACTCCCAGAAACAGTGCCAGTCCCATAACAAAAATTAAGCTGGTAGCTTTCATGTGGATTATTGAATGCAACTAATGCAACTGCGCTGGGCGATTTCTTTATATACCTACGGCTCAATTCTCCGGGTGAACGAAAGCAAAACCAGATGCAACAGAAGTCGGTTTTATGGCAGGTTTTTTTATTGTTTGTTCAGCGAGAATCTTTTTCGGCTTGAATTACCAGAAGCCACTACTACTAGGTTGCGAAGAGGCGCTGACTGAGGCCTACAATTGGTGGACTCTGCCATACGCTCTGAACGGTTTCGGCAGCCACTTGATTACGCCAATCGCCTATTCCTTTAAACAGGCTTAGGAACATACTGGTGAATACTGTAATGTCATCGGCATTGAGTGGATTCATCTGTTGCCCAGCTGCTGATGAAATCGAAGGAAGTTTTGCATCCAGAGAACCCTTGCCATGGGCAACTGCCAGTGGCAGACCCTCAACGGTATTGTGAACTTGGATTGTCTGTGAAGAAAGCAAAAAGAACGAAACTTTTGTGAATGCTTAAAGTCACGTCTCGCTTACTGCAATGACCAGAAGCATAATGGGCCACATTCTGATTTGTAGTTTGGTGTCTAACTCGCAGTGCACTGACGATGGAATGGCTTTTAAAGCGATGCCATTGTTGACTCACTGACCCTGCGGCTCCAATTAACTGAGTTGCTTGGAGCTGTTGGACATCTCCTTCTGTTTGCCAAAGTCAAGAAGTTCGGTTACATTTGTGTCAAGACGCGCTCGAGATAATTGAAAATTGCCGCTGTCAATATTTAATGTCAATGCCTCAGATATCGATACAATACAGGTATGTAATTATATAGGTTATGCTGACGAACGAATTGTTTGAAGGCACCACTAAGGTTATGCTTGAGCATTGAAGCAATGAGTAATGATTTCGTTCCAGCTGCTTTCGTTTTCAGGACGGGCTAAAAGAACTTTATTCCCAGAATCGGCAGCGAAAGCAACAGCAACAGCGACAGCCTCACGTTCGAAAGCGTTGACTCTGCCAAAAGTTCTAAAAACTATACGAAATTTATGAATCCATAACAACAAGATTGATATTTGTATATGTGCATACATATACTGAGATAAGTCGATACAAATAATGCTATACATATGTCAGCCATATCGCCCTAGATAAGTCATAAGCTAATAAATAAAAATTCCCATAAATAAATGAATAAGCCCATGCCCATGCTGGGTATCTTTGTTTTCTATAACTGACGACTGACTGTTTTTTTTATTTTGAGGCGTATCATCGTCAGTCGGCAGCAATTCCCTCATCGATATACATGAACCTTAAGTTCAACCTAAAGATACAAGATATTTGACCAGATTTAAACTTTATTTTGTTTAAAATAGTTTTTCCTTTCCACCTTTCATCATAGTTTATTAAATTACATTAAATATTCCAAATTGTATCTTTTCGCCACACCAAAATTAATTATTTTATATTTTACACTCGAAAAGGCCAAACATTATTCAGTTTATTTGACTTTGGTGATAAGCTTTTACATAATATATGTACGTAAGAATTATAATTGGAGACAATAATGTATTACTGGCGTAAGAATTCGAATTAATATTATGACTGGCGCTGCTCCACATCTTTTTAGGTGACACACTTGTGCGAGTAGAAGTGACATCTTTTCGAGCAGCACTCCTCACTGACATTGCACTGCAGAATTAAATGGGTAAAGAGAGAAAGTTATCTATGTGTTCAAGGTGAGCTGCTCCACAGCGACTCTTACCGGTCCGCCGACGGGGTTGCACTGCATGCCCTGCCTCTCTTGTGGGGTCTGCTCTGACTCATTGGGCAGCGTCTGGATTTCGACGATGTCAGGAAATTGATCGACAGACTCCTTCACATCGGTGTCATAGATACTGTTGGAGTGGTGTGACATATACACTGGAAGGCCTTCGTCAATCTTCCTGGCGCAGACATTCAAGTAAGTCATGCACTTCATCGAGCAGCAGTGCTCATGCATCTGGCACTAAATACCCAAGCTTAGAGCGATGATCATGGCAAGAGAACAATAATGCAACTCACATATTCTCCATTCGCATGGCAAGGGCCACTCTCTCTCTTCAACTGGGCCGCCACCAAGCCCAAGATACACAAAAACAATCCCAAACGGGCGATTGATAGCGAATTCGACGTCGACATGCTGGCACTTGCACTGGAAAGCGTTGACTGTGGCATCATGCGGTGGTTCGCCGTTTTATAACTAAGCGACACAGAGAAATAATAGCTGGATTCGAGAGCCTAAAAGAAGACCTTTATCTTGCTGAACTTTGCTGCGAATAAATTACGTTTTGGCAAGTTCAATTGTTTTAGAAAATAAATGAATTTGATAGTCAGTATCGTTGATATCGTTGCCTCAGAGAAAAGGGATGTTTTATGTAGAATTTCAATACATATCAATATGATCTCTAAACGGGGCATGAATGACAGAGGGTGTAATGTGATTAACCCGCATCGGGCCGTGAGTGGGTTTTTTTGTTGTGTGCCAAGGATTGTACCGTGACCTGCCACAACTGTACCACTCATCGCTGCTCGCTTGAGTGGCTGTGGCTCTCGGCCTGGAGTGAGTTTGTTTGCTCGGCTGCTTGCTCATCGTGTGCCCAGCAGAGCACTCTTATACGCATCGATCAGCCAGCCAGCCAGCCAGCCAGCCAGCCGCTTATCTTATCGAGGGAGGGAGGCTTTAGCTATAGGTACGAGTATAACCTGAACCCGCAATCGTTGCGGACGCTCAGTTGAGTTTCGGTTGCCAACGCGTGGTGGACAGTCCCAGAGTCCCAGTCTCAGTCATCGATACGCTGACATGATTACGCCTTCGAGTGGCTTTGCGGGCCTTGTGCTGGCTGTGGCTCTAGCCCTGTCCGGGGTCAGTGGGTCCCTGCCCACTCGCGATCGCTCGCTGCGTCTGCCCAACGAGACCTATCCGCTGGGCTACCATCTGCACATCTCGAGCAACATACATCTGGGGAATTTGCTCTTCAGCGGAAATGCCACCATTGACGTAGCGATCAGGCAGTCGACGAACGAGATAGTTCTACACGCCAAGAACCTGAGCGACTACCAGATTACTGTGCGACAGCTGACACCGTCGGGATCCGTCGATGTTGTCGATGACCTTACCCACACATACAATCCGCAGGCAGCTTTCCTCATCATCCATCCCCGCGAGAATTATCAGGCCTTCGAGGCGGGACAGCGCTACCGCGTGGAGATTCTCTACACGGCCATAATGAGGTCCCGGCCCATGGGCCTCTACTGGATGGACTACGTGGACGAGTCGACCAATCGGACCGTGTGAGTAGAGCATAAAGCCGAGTGGGGATTGGGTCACTAAAGTAGACACTTCCGCTGGAGGAGGCACGCGCCTTAAACATTTCGAAGAGAGACTTTGGCGGGGCTCTCACTTTTATTTTCTTTCTATTTCCATCTGTTTGTTGTCTGTTGGTTCTCGTTGTTCCATACTTTTAATTAATTTTTGACGCTGCCACAGACAGAAAGCGGCTTATCATCAAACATTTGGCCAGCTATCGGGGCATCACATCGGAATATACACTCGAATACGCGTACTCTCGTATCAGAATCCACTCATTCCCGCAGCGTTGCCAGGGTGACGATGTAAACAATACAACAAGCCAGCACATGCACATACATTTGTACATATATATTTGAAAGGAATTCTTACGAATGCTTACGAACCGAATCTTATCAGCCCTCTGCACACCGCGTTTAGTTTTGGGCGCGTGAACTCTGAAATCCCACAAAACGCGTAGCTTTGTTTATTTTGATTTGTAACTCGCACTTTGATTTTACGGGCCATGCCCATTGTCGATTCCCCCGAATTGGAAGTGTGTAATAAATAACCCTCAATTATTCTGAAGAGAGAGAGAGAGAGCACGTCATACCGGCTGCCTCAGGCTGCAACTGGTTTTATTCAGCGTTCAATGATCTGCAAATTGGGAATTTTCGATTCGGACATGATTTCGGGTACTTTGAATTATTGTTTGGCTTAGCAATGGGAATTCCGAATCTATTTCATGCGTGCAAAAAACACAGTTGGCCACTCGACTGATGATTCTCCATAAATACTTATAGAATTTCCAACTTGCAATTTTCAGATATGTGGCCGCCACGCAATCAGAGCCGACTTATGCCCGTCTGATCTTTCCCTGCTACGATGAGCCGGGGTTCAAGTCGAATTTCAGCATCCGGCTGACGCACGGTATCAACCACTCGGCTATATCTAATATGCCAGTAAAGGATGTGCAGCATCATGGGTAAGCAATAAGCAATTTCTGTCTTTAGTTTCTATTATATAAAAGTGCATTGCAGGGAGCTGACAACGACACTCTTCGCGGCAACGCCACCGATGTCTACCTATTTGGTGGCATTTGTGATCTCCGACTTTGAGCACATTTCGGAGACGTATCGCGGGGTTACGCAGCGCATCTACTCCTCGCCCAGATCGAAGGAGAAGGGTCAGAGTGCGCTCAAGAATGCTGTGCGTACGGTGGCCGCCATGGAGGACTACTTCGGTGTGAGCTACCCGCTCCAGAAGCTGGATCACATTGCGCTGAAGAAGAACTACGGGGCTGCCATGGAGAACTGGGGTCTGATCACCTTCAAGGAGGGCAACCTCCTGCATCAGGATACGGGGGATGTGCACAAGCGTGTGAAGGACAAGATCACCCAGAACCATGAGATTGCCCATCAATGGTTCGGCAACTTGGTGTCGCCCGAGTGGTGGTCATATGCCTGGATGAACGAGGGCTTTGCCACCTACTTTGCCTATGTCATCACGGATTTGGTGAGTCCCAGTTCCAGCACCAAAGGGAATGCAATTTACAATGTCTCTTCTCTTCTCTTCTGTAGCTCTATCCCGAGGACAAGGTGATGGATATGTTCGTGTCGGATGAGGGGGATCGAGCCTACAGCTACAACAGCTTCTTCGACGTTCGCCCAATGACATCCTACGTGGAGACTGAGAAGGAGATCATGGCCATCTTCGATATCATCACCTACAAGAGAGCTGCCTGCGTCATCAAGATGTTCCACCACGCCTTCAAGCAGAAAATCTTCGTGCGCGGCATCAGTCGGTTCCTGGAGAAATAGTAAGTGCTTATTGGACAACAGCTGGAACCGATCAATTGGAATTCATGGGCCAAAGTTGCTATGTTCGTTCATTCCAGCAAGTACACCGTGGCCAACGAGCTGAACCTGTTCGATTACCTGCAAGCGGAGCTCCTTGAGGATGAGCACTTCGGGCAGCAGCCGTGGGTGCTCCGGGTGCGGGAGATCATGCTCTCCTGGACCCACAGCGAGTGGATGCCCATTGTGCTGGTGACTCGCAACTACGAGAACGACACGATCACCTTCAGCCAGCGCTCGATACACTCCAAGAGCGAGCACTGGTGGATACCATTGAACTTTGCAACCGCTCAGAAACCCTGCTTCGAGGAAACGCAAGCGGACCTCTTCATCCCGCCCCAGACGCAGCACTCCCTCAGCCTGGCAGAGCTGAATCTGCAGCTGACCGGCCGGGACTGGCTGATCGTGAACAAGCAGCAGACTGGCTTCTACCATGTCCACTACGACACCGACAATCTGCGGGCCATTTCCCGCCAGCTGCGGCACAACCACACGCTCATCCATCCGGTGAACCGGGCTGCCCTGTTCCGAGACCTGAAGCCGCAGATCGAGCACACCGAGCTGGAGGACATCGATGTGGTGCTCGACATGCTGAAGTACATGGAGTTCGAGGAGGATCTGCTGCCCTGGAACCAGGTGGCCGATACCATAGACTTTGTGCGACGAAATCTCTTTGCCACCTCCTCGCTGGAGCTGTTCAACGAGTTTGTGCGTCAGCTTGTCACGCCCACATTCCGGCGACTCTTTCGTGACAAAACCTCTGGTGAGGTGCCCAACAGTGACCTGGATGCGGGCCAGGCGATCCTCCTAATGGCCTGCCTGGCCGACCTGCCCGAGTGCCTGGACCACACGCGCACCCTGGCCAAGGAATACATCTTCAAGAGGATCAATGTGACCAACGAGTCCGAGTACTTTGCCATGTACGACAGCATCCTTTGCTTGGGTGTGCGCTACCTGAGCGACAAAGATTTCTACGGGGTCATTGGCATGATGCAGGCGGCCGATCGCAGCTCCATCTACTACGATGACCTGATCTACTCCCTGCGCTGCACTCAGAGCCACAGCCATCTGCTGTACTTCCTGGAGCTGCTGCTGGGCGAGAACTCTACGCATCTGATACTCAGCGACCCGGAGTCCATGATGTATCTCTCCTATTTGTACAAGTCAAACATGGAAGCTCGATCTGTGATCTGGCAGTACATCGATCGCAACTACAAGCTGCTCTGCAGGTCACCGAACTTTGTGGAGAATTTCAATCAAATAGCCGAGTTTGTGCCGCGACAACAAAAACCACACGTGGGATAAACATACCTCATACATGCTCTAGCAGATCCTAACCACCTTTTCTCTTTCAGTTTGTTCTGCTGCGCCAGAACATTGCTGCATACATGGAGGTGCAGGGCCTCAACCACACAGGTGCGGCTCTGATCGACATTGACTCTGGACTGGTGGGCAAGAAGATGAAAAACACGGAAGTCTTTGTCGACAAATACGAGCAGAAGATACACAACTGGCTGCTTGCCGAGGTGCCACAAATGTCAGCGCAGAAAGAAGCAATCTATGCAGCCTCGCTCAGTGTTGGCAATGGCTCGAATCGGCCACAGGGCCTCCTGAATACGGCCAGTGAAGTGGTGCAAAAAGCGTTACGATCCATAGATCGATCGCTATATAGATGATAATGATTGTTTGCCTCAAACAAGGGCAGACTCAATTACAAATAAATTAATTATAATACAACAAGTCATTCGGCGTTATCAATCAAGCACCGCGAGCTTTCCACCACACCAACGATGAATGATAAGCGATATTGGCTCTGGGCCAGACAGAGATGTGGGCAGTAGATATGCCAATGAGTATCAGAACAAGTCATCGTCCATAAATGGATCTATACTCTCAATACTCTCGACGAATACTCGTATACCCTTGCAGGCACTAGGAGTTCAATTTTAATGGCTGAAGAAAGCAGTTTGCGGTTTTATGGGGTGCATAAATCAGGTACAAAAATAAACCTACTTATTGTTGCAAGTAAATGTCTAATAGATAAGGTTAATACTGACTTACGATTGAGGATCATTTATACGAACTGAAGGAACAAGAGTGCTCGTTGTTGGCTCTGATAATGGAGGATCAATGGAAGAGTATCATGGAAGAGTTTCGATTGTGTTTATTATGTCTGATGCAAACTTTAGAGAGTATTCAAAGACCGATGGGTAGAGTCAGTAATGCTCCACAAGAACATGCCTTAGCACCGACTTGTACGTGCACCAAGGAAATCGATAATTGAGCAATTTACTACTTAATTGTTCCTTTTTTTCGTAGGCGTGTTAGTGGCTAGTGCGGTATTAGCAGTGAGCTATTTTATCGAGTGTTGCGCAAGTGTAAGGCAATCTTTATGATGAGTGCCTGGCACAGGATTAGATATGGCAATGCCCATAAATAAGAGCCGATCGCCCGGCGGCCACTCAATATTCAAGTGATTCTCCGGTGCAGCCAACATGACAATGTGGCTGCTTAACTCCTGTCTGCTGCTGCTGTTGGCAGCAGTTAGCCTGCAGGCGAGACTGATCCTTCCCCAGGACGACTTACTACTAAACGGACAATTGGAGACTAAGAGTCAATTCTTTGCCACTCCTCGCGACGACAACGATGTGAGCAACTATCGGCTGCCCAACAACACCGCCCCAGAGTCGTACAAGGTGGAGCTGTGGACCAATGTGCACAACGGCACGAGAGCCTTCAATGGCAGCGTGCAGATCGATCTGCAGGTCCTTGAGCTGTCCAGTTCCATCACACTGCACTACCGCCAGACATCGAACTTTACTGCAACGATTGTGAGCAGAGATCAGGCCAATGCCCAGCCCATTGAACTCGATGTGACCACCGACACAGTTCGCGAATTTCTGACCATCACACCGAAGTTGGCCACTCTCACCTTTGCCGCGAACACCAATTGGACCCTCAGCATCGTCTACAATGGTACTTTGCGCAGCGATATGGGCGGTTTCTACATTTCCAGCTACACGGACGATGACAATACTGTGCAGTAAGTGAAACGCAGTAAGGGATCTCTGGATTAACTTAAACGAATCATTTCTATTGCAGCTACCTTGCCACTACGCAGTTCGAGAGTACCAATGCCCGACACGCCTTCCCCTGCTACGATGAGCCCAACAGGAGAGCCAACTTCACAATCACCATCCACCACGATCCCTCCTACACGGCCATTAGCAATATGCCCGAGGATGCGGCAGGCACCCGCACGGGCGTCACCGCCTTCCAGACCACCCCCAAGATGTCCACCTATCTGATAGCCTTCATCGTGTCCGACTTTGAGTCGACGGGCGGCGAGCTGAACGGCCTGCCCCAGAGGGTATTTTCGCGCAAGGGAAAGCAGGATCAGCAGGAGTGGGCCCTTTGGTCCGGCCTGGTGGTGGAGTCCAGCCTGGCTGGCTACTTCGGTGTGCCGTTTGCCCTGCCCAAGCTGGATCAGGCCGGCATACCGGACTTTTCTGCGGGAGCAATGGAGAACTGGGGCCTGGCCACGTACCGCGAACAGTACATGTGGTGGACCAAAGAGAACTCCACCATCAACCTCAAGACGAACATTGCCAACATCATAGGCCATGAGTATGCGCACATGTGGTTCGGCGATCTGGTCTCCGTCAAATGGTGGACCTATCTGTGGCTGAAGGAGGGCTTTGCCACACTCTTCTCCTACGAATCGAACGACATTGCCTTCCCCGAGTGGAACACCTATCAGATCTACCATGTGAGCGACTACAACAGTGCCCTGCTGAACGACGCCCTTGCCTCAGCCACGCCCATGACCCACTATGTACAGACGCCATCAGAGATTTCAGGACGCTACAACACCTTCTCGTACGCCAAGCCTGCCAGTGTGCTCTTCATGTTCAAGAACGCCTGGACAGACCGCGTCTTCCGACAGGGTCTGAACAAGTATCTGACCAAGAAGTGAGTGCCCATAGCTCGATTATCGTGAATCCTTTGATTAATTGTCTGTCCCCTGTTTAGCCAATACACATCCTGCGACGAGTGGGACCTGTTTGAATCCTTCCAGGAAGCTGCCAACGAGCAGGGTCTCACGCTGCCCACGACTGTGGCCAATATCTTCTCCAGCTGGTCGCACCAGGCTGGCTATCCCCTGTTGACCGTCGAACGAAACTATGGCGCTGGCACCTTCACCGTCAAGCAGCAGCGCTACGTCGCTGACAAGGATGCAAGCAACCAGAACACCTGGTATGTGCCAATCAACTTCGCCACAGCCTCCAGTCCGGACTATCGCAATACGAGTGCCTCGCACTACCTCCTGAATGTCCCCGAACTGGCCGTCACAGATGCCCAGATCGGCAGCGACGATTGGCTGCTGCTCAACAAGCAGAGCTCGGGCTACTACCGCATCCTCTACGACAACCAGAACTACCAGCTCCTGGCAAAGGTACTGGCCGACCAGCCATACAAGATCCATGCCCGCAATCGCGCCCAGCTGCTGTACGACACCTACATCTTCCTGAACACCGGACGCCTCACTCACAGCACGCTGTTCAATTTGCTGTCCTACCTTAAGAACGAGAACGAGTACGCGCCCTGGTCCACGGCCAACACCATTCTGACCGTCTTCGATCGGTACCTGCGAGGCGATGAGCAGTACTCCCACTTTAGCCACTTCGTGGTCGAGCAGATCGACGGCATCTTCGATAAGTTGGGTGTCAACGAGATTCCCGGGGAGCACTATCTGAACAACTATCTGCGCGTGGTGCTGATCAGTCTGGCCTGCCAAGTGGGCAGTCAGTCGTGCTACGAGCAGTCGGCCCACAAGCTGGAGCAGTTCCTTCTGCAGGGAATTCCAATCGAGCCAACTGTGCGCACACAGGCCTTCTGCGGTGGCCTGCGCAAGGCGGAGGATGACATCTACAATCGCGTAATACAGAATCTGGGTTCCTCTTCGGACGCCACCGATCGCAGCCTGTTCCTGTCTTCGCTGGGATGCTCGCAGGTTCCCTCGCAGCTGGAGACATTCTTGTCAAGCTCCCTCGATCAGAGCAATGGCCTGTATGACAGCGAGCGGACTTCCCTGTTGAACTCCGCCTACTCCAGGAGCGAGGTTGGTCTCACGGCCAGCTTGGACTTCCTCGAGTCCAAGTGGAGGGACTACGCCCAGCTGAATGGATCCACCAAGCCCTTGGACTTGGCTCTGCGTGGCATTGCCACCTATGTGGTCAGCGAGAAGCAGCAAACAAGGGTAGGCGCTCAGTGAAGTTTGGAAATTCATTTCTCAAAATAATTTGTTATACCTCATCCCAATTTAGCTCAACGCCCTGGTCGAAGAAGTTAAGACCAATGGGCCCGAGTATGTCAATGAAGATCTTAGCACCACGGTTGACACCAGAGTGAAGGCCAATCTCGATTGGCTGGCCATCCACCGTGATCCCCTGATCACTTGGCTCTCTGCCTATCACACTAAGGACAATGGCAGTGCCGCCCTGACGACGTCCCTGGCCACGATTCTGGCCACAACGCTGACGCTACTTCTGTGGCAGCTATTTTAAGTTTAGTCATGTGCTCAAGCATAGCCATAAATAAATCTAATTAATGAATCAACAGTTGCATTGGTACTCTTGGTACTTTTAGTGCGGCTTAAACTCAATCATTCCATCGATAGGAACGGTGAATTCCGGTGGAACGGTTTTACCTGCCAGGGATCAAGGTGCGCAAAAGATTTTGTTGTGAAATGGGTGATTAACTGGATTGATGGCTTTATGGCTTGAACCGTTCCACTTGATCAGTCTTATCTCAGTTATTGAGAATCCATAAAATCGATGGCGAATCGTTAGCTGATTGTGCACCAGTCATGTGTTCTTGACGAACCTCGATTACCAATTGGATAGTTACAGTGTAGTTTATGAAGTTCACGTGCCACAATCGACAAAGTGACGCCATCAAAATGAAGAACTTTCGAGAAAAAAAGGTTTTATCCATTTCAATTTGTTTCCTTTTAAACCTTTCTCTGACAATAAAATACTTTCATTGACATTGCAGACAAGATCTCGCTTTGTGTGATTTGAAACGTACTTAAGTTTGGTTATTTCTGATCAGCTCTGTGTGTTAACTTGTTTAATTTGTTGGCGTATTAATTGATTAGCCAATGCCTGGCATTGTGCCAAATCCCTTTCCGATTGCCTTGTCTAATCATTTGCTATCAAAAATAGTTTATTTATTGCTGGTTAACTTTCAATTTTGATGTGTAATTCCCAATGTATTTACTTGTAGTGCTCGAGCACTTTAAATAGCCACCGGTCTGTCGCCACATTCTTGAGACGAAGCCCAAAAAGTCCCCAAACCATGGAAAGTGTTTAAGATTATTTGAGAAACGGAAAGGATTATGAGTGTATAAATGAACTCGAGCATGGCGATTGTTGGTTACCAGGCAAGGGAAAACCTTTCCATGTAGTTTTCGATATGAATGGATCGATTCTCTCTGAAAAACGCTTGTCAGCGAGTATACTTGAAAGCCTTATCAGCAAGTACAAATGTCTATCTTGAAATGGTAAGACCTGCTCCATTATCTAACCATCGCAAATACGTGTGTTGGCTGGTCAAAAGGAACCATCAGATGTGCGAGTATATGGATCCTGAAGCTATCGTGACTTGCCGTACAATCGAATCGTTGATTTATACCGACTATAGAGGGTTTACAGCGCACCAGACACAATCTTGCCCCATCGACGAGTGTGCGAGCGTGTGTTCCATCTCTTAGAAGAAATGATTAGCATGATTAGATTAGGCTTGGCCTCCAGATAACATTTTATACAGCCACTCGCTGGTGGAATGCAAAGAGAGGGCTCGCTTAAAAGTGGGAGCCCAGTGGGTGCCACCCAGTTATTGCCAAGTTGTCGCCGCGCCGTAGACAACATGACTCGCGTACAGATCGGGACAATGTCCATGCTGCTGGTCCTGCTGGTGGCCACCACCCAGGCAGCCGTTGTGCGCAGCTTTCCGCCCTTCGAGCAGCTTCAGAGCCTGGAGAATCCCAATCTCCGAGCTTTGATTCCACTCGCCGACGAAGTTAACTATCGCCTGCCCAACGAGACGAACCCTCTGCACTATGACGTCCACCTCTCCACCGATGTCCACCTGGGCCACACACTCTTCACAGGCACGGTATCGATTACCCTCGAGGTTCTCGAGGCCACACAAGAGATCGTCGTGCATGCCCGCCAGCTGGCCAACTTCGCCGTCACCATCCAGCAGCTCGAGGTCGAGGCAGCCATCGAGCAGACCCTCGATCACGAATACGAAGCTGAGCGCGAGTTCCTCACTCTGAGCAAGTCGGGTCTGAGCTTCCCCGCCGACACCAAGTGGCTGCTGAAGATCAGCTACCAGGGCAATCTGCGCACCGACAACGGCGGCTTCTACCTCTCCACGTACACGGACGAGGAGGGCAACACCAAGTACCTGGCCACCACCCAGTTCGAGAGCACCGACGCCCGTCACGCCTTCCCCTGCTACGATGAGCCAGCGAAGCGCGCCAATTTCACCATCACCATCAAGCACGATCCTTCCTACAATGCCATCAGCAACATGCCCCAGAACGTGGCTGCCTCCAGCTCTGGAGTCACCGTCTTCGATACGAGCGTCAATATGCCCTCCTATCTGGTGGCGTTCATTGTCTCCGAGTTTGTCTACTCGGAGGGTGAGTTGAACGGCCTGCCACAGCGCGTCTTCTCCCGCAAGGGCACCGAGCACGAGCAGGAGTGGGCTCTGACCACCGGCATGCTGGTGGAGAAGCGTCTGTCCGACTACTTTGGCGTCAAGTTCGCCGTGCCCAAGCTGGACCAGGCTGGTATTCCCGATTTCGCTGCCGGCGCCATGGAGAACTGGGGCCTGGCCACCTACCGCGAGGAGTACATTCTGTACAACCCAGAGAACTCGACGATCAACACCCAGACGAACATTGCCACCATCGAGGCGCACGAGGATGCGCACATGTGGTTCGGGGATCTGGTCGCCATCGAATGGTGGTCCTACCTCTGGCTGAAGGAGGGATTCGCTACACTCTTCGAGCATCTTGCTGTGGATTTGGTATGTCCCTAAATGTAACAAATTCCCAGAAAAAGTGGGAAATTAACACAATTCTCTACTCATAATCCACAGGCCTACCCGGAGTGGAACATTTTCCAGATCTTCCATGCCGGCTCCTACCAAAGTGCTCTGATAAACGATGCCAGCCCCTATGCCCGCCCCATGACCTACTTTGTGCAGAAGCCCTCGGAGATCGGTTTGCTCTACGACTCTGTCTCGTATGCCAAGGCTGGCTCCGTGCTGGACATGTGGCGTCATGCCCTGACCAACACCGTCTTCCAGCGCGGTCTGCACAACTACCTCGTGGCCAAGTAAGACATGCCAGACACACATATTATCATCGACAATCCAACCATGATTTTTCCTTCAGTGAATACTCGGCCGCCAATCCCACAAAGTTGTTTGAGGCCATTGCCCTCGCTGCTGTGGAAGAGAACTACGAGGTTCCCGCTCTCGTCACTGACATGATGGCCAGCTGGTCGAACCAGGGTGGAGTGCCCCTGCTGACCGTGGAGCGCAACTACCAGGATGGTTCCTTCAGCATCAAGCAGGAAACCTACACCAACGACAAGCACTTCACCAGCGAGAAGCTGTGGTATGTGCCCGTCAACTATGTGGATGCCTCAAACCCCGATTTCCGCAATACCGAGGCCACCCACTACCTGCTCAACCAGAGCCAGATAAGCATTCCCGATGCCAAACTGGCTGCCGAGAACTGGCTGATACTGAACAAGCAGTCCACGGGCTACTACCGCATCAACTACGACAGCCAGAACTGGCAGCTGATCATCGATGGACTGATCAATCGCCCGCACAAGATCGATCCCCGCAACAGGGCCCAGCTGGTCAGCGATTTGTATCGCTTCGCCACCAGCGGCCGTGCGTCCCACGCCACCCTCCTGACCCTGCTCACCTACCTGCCCAACGAAGATCAGTATGCCCCCTGGTCGGCGGTCAATTCGGTGATCTCTCTGTTCAACCGCTACCTCAGCGGCGATTCCGAGTACGAGAACTTCCAGTTCTATGTGGGAGAGTTGGTCAACCAGCAGTTCGACAAGTTCGGCGTGAACGATCTGAACGGAGAGCAGCACTTGGTGAAGTTCACCCGCAACCTGCTCATCAACATCGCCTGCCTGGCTGGTGTCGAGAGCTGCCTGAAGGAGACCAAGGCTAAGCTGCAAAACTTGGTCGATGATGGCACCCCCGTTGAGCCCAATCTGCAGTCGCAGGTCTACTGCAATGGCCTCAAGCAGGCCGACTCGCAGATCTTCGATTTTGTGTTTGAAAAGCTGATGGACTCCAGCGACCAGGCCGAGCGCCGCCTGCTCATCTCGTCCCTTGGCTGCTCCCAGGATGCCGCACAGCTGCACAAGTTTGTGTCGAGCAGCATTGACCAGACCAATGGCCTGCGCGTCCAGGAGCGCATCACCCTGCTCAATCCTGCCTATTCACGCGGAGAGGTTGGTCTCTTGGCCTCGATTGACTTCCTGCTGGAGCACTGGGAGGAGTATGCCCTTCTGAACACCGGCTTTGGTGGCATCAATCCCCTCTACAACGACATCCTTGGCATTTCCGCCTACACGGTGAACGCCAAACAAAAGGAAAAGCTGCAGGAGCTGGTGGACCTGGTCCAGAACTCCACCTTCGTGCCCGAGACGCTGCAAGCCAGCGTCGATGCCAACGTTGCTGCCAACGATGAATGGCTGAAGGTTAACCGTGAGCCCCTCATGTCTTGGGTCTCCAACTTCCGCAACAGCAGCGCTGCCCTGAACGCCTCCTTCCTGGCCCTGGTCCTGTGCCTGTTGGCCTCCAAACTGTTTTAGTTTCTAGTCCTTAAAGTCCTAGTCCCTAAGTAATGTGCACTCGCTGGGCAACAGCGAGAAGTATTCATCAATAAAACTCCATTAAATAAGAAAATTGATTTCCTGCTTTAATTTACAACTGGGTACTCGTATCGTTTCGGACCCTTTATGACCGTGAAATGGCTGAAACAAGAAACCAGTCGGATAAGAATTGTGCGCTTATAAATTTGCTGGTTGGTTTGCTGCCCCCGCTGTTACCCCCCGCCATCAGTGCGGTGCGGGTAAGTCCCGTGCCAAGTAACACTGCTAAAAATCCATCATTCATAAGAGCGCCATAAATAAATACGGATGTTCATATGTACGTATGTACGTACGTACGCTGATGTACAACGCAGAAAGAATCCCAGCCATGGCAACTAATTCTGATTCGATTTCTATTGTTTGTTGCTGGAGATCTTCTGCAGACTCTTGCTCAAGGTTAATTGATTGCAATCCAATTTTACTTACGCTTTAAAAGGTATTTATGTGGCTGGTTTTACCGTATAAGCATAATCAAATTTGGCAAATGCACTCTGGGAAATTTGACCATCTTTCCCCATGTTTCAAAAGCAACTAAAGTAATATATTTTCAACCGAAATATATCTTCAAAGTTACCTAGTCCAACATTTAACAGAGCTTACCACTGTCAAGTTATCAGCTTTTTAACAGCGCTGTTCGC